CTTTTCTTCAAAATCTTCTGCCAGCTTCTTCTTCTCCTCAGCGAACTGAGTTTGCAGCTGCGCCCTAATGGCGTCGCGCTCCTCAGTCCGGACGCGCTCCTTCGCAGCCTCCACAGCAGTCTCAAGCCGGCTTTGCCATACGCCCAGCTCAGTCAGGGCCTTGTTGGCCTCGTGGGTGGCCTTTTCCGCACGGCTCTCCGCGCCGGCGAGCTTCCCTTCCAGCTGCACAATCCGAGACTCGTCTGTCTTCAGCCTCGCGCGCGTGGAAGCACGATCCTGCTGGGCGCGGTAAGTCGCCAGCAAACCCTGCACAAACGGCACTTTACAACTTAAAAAAAAAAAAAAAAGAGGAGGAAAAGAAGACAAAAGAATTGTGAGCCAGAACAGAATAACCTTACCGCCCAATGGATCTGAGCCAGGTCCACAAGAGGATCCGACTTCTCGAATCGGGGGGGGGATGCTAAGCACAGGGCCAACCGCCAGCAAAGCAGCCTGCGCGGTTTGACTATTACACGCCGCGCCGGTGTGCAGCCGCACGTCGCGGTAATAGTCAACCCCCGGGACGCCCCCCAACATGTCGGAGAGCTTCAGTTGCCCAGTGGCCCCAGAGTTGCTGGGAGCCACCACCTTTTCCGGACGCGGGGAGTTGCCCACCCGTTCCTCGGGATCGACGATGACAAGAGGGTGCTGGCTTGCCTCTTGCATGCGCGCCTCCGGCATGGTAACAACTCGCGCCTGCGGCTCCACGACCCGCGCCACCTTCTTCGGGTTCCCATCAGCCGGCTCCCTCTCCGACGCCGACTCCTTCCTCTTCCCGCTACCCGCGGGAGCACTGCTAGGCTGCCCTCGATCCTTCCTCTTGGCGCTGGCAGCTGGCGCATTACTACTCTGCGCCCCCTCTTTCTGCTTCTTCTTCCCCTTACGAGAGGCTCGGGGCGCCTTTGCAACGTTGTCCACCGACATCATGCTCGCGAGGTCGGCAAAATTGACACCTGCACCAAAATATCGTAAGAAACCGGTTAAATATGACAGAATGCAAAGGGAAAGGAAAACAACTAACCATCAGCGAAAAGCTCTTGCAAAATGGCCTCGCGAACTCCGCGCGTATAGAGATTCATCTTCTGATCTAAACACGCTTGATACTCATGATCAAGCCCGTCATACGCGCCAACGCGAGACTCAAACTTCTGAGTACTACCCTTCTTCCACACAGTGGGCTCATCCACGTGCTCACTCGCCCACTCCCCCGCCACCGGCTTAACATAGAAGAAGCGCTCAAACCACGTCTTCTTAAGCTTGGGGGAGCCGTAGACGAACCCATCAGGCCTGTTATCGCGCCGCTTGATGGACAAACAATCACTCGTCTTGCTGGGCTCCTTGATCTTATAAAATTTTCGGAACAGCCCGTACGTGGGCTGGATGTTAAGCCGCTTACAGGCAAGGCGCAAGCACGAGACGTGCATTATGATAGACGGAGAGAGGCGTCCAACCGAGCAGTTGAGCCGCCTGTATAAAGCGCACAGCAGTGGGTCGATGGGAAACTTGAAGCCCATCACCCAATACTCGCTATATACCCCGAACCACCCTGGGGGGCAATTACCAACTGTGCTCCTAACAGAGGGCACCGCGTACTCCCAGTGCGGAGGCAGACCCAACCCGCGCACGATTTCTTCAACGTCCTCGCGCGAGTAGATTGAAGAGTGGTCAGGCCCCCGCAATAAGTTGTCATGCGGAGCCGGCTGGTCGCCCCACATCTCCGCCCAATCAAGGACGGTGTAGACCGCGCCCATGCAACGAGGACCAAGGCGACTCATCGCCTCGGTTACGCGCACAACATTGACGGGCTCGGCGATTATCGGCGCCGACTCCGTGTCAGAATATTCACGCTCTGCCGCGCCCGCAGTACCAGCACCCTCCGCGATCCCGGACATCCCACCGTGGTCGCGTCTGATTATTAGGACGCCCTGGGGCCGCGTACTCGGTCCCTCGCCCCCGGACACCACTGCATCTTCATCGGCCTCCGTCTCTCTGAGGTCGAAATCAGGATCCGAGTCGACTCTGGTCGACGGCGTCGACGGAACTCCACCGTCACCGGACCCACCGCCGTCCTCGCCGCCGGAATTCGCCAATTCCAGCGACGGATCAGAAGAAATACGTGAAAGTGGGGAAACATTACCTTCTCCGTCTTGTACGATCTCAACCTCGCCGACGTTGGTGTTGATGTTGTCCATGGCAGCAAGAAACAATAGACAAGAACAACGATTGGGGATTTAAGATTGTAAAAGAAGGAGAGGAATCTCGGCGATAAACCAGAGCACGAGAGAGAAAGAGCAGAACTCAGATGTGAAGAATGAGACAGAATGAATCCGACTCCCCAAACGGGTCGATACTTATAGTTATCAGAGGGAAGACGAAGGGTTAAAGTAACCTCGAAGATCCCAACCGTCAGACGTTTCGAATTTCGAAATTCGCCCGCCCAAACGAACAAACCAGGTAAGGACACGTGGACACCTATTCGAAGTAGGTACTAGCCGCTGACGTAACTAGTTACGCACAACGCCTGGGGGGCATGGCACACCCGCGAGGAAAAAGAAAAAAAAATCTCGCAAAGATCGCGCACACGATTCAGAATCCCGGACCCCAAGGTCCGCGCCCTATCAGGCAACTACAACAGAGCCTCTCGCGCAAGCCACGGAACACGCGAGGAACAATCGCAGCCGCGATAATCACAATCGATCAATTGCCGCGCCATCGATGATTCGAACCTCACAAGGACCGAGCGCACGATCCCCCAGAGATCGCGCGCTATCAGGCAACTACAACAGAGTCTCTCGCGCGACTACGGAATGGCAAGGTGTAAACGAGAAACCCCGGACCCGCGCCCAGGCCCGAGTCGATCAAGCGAAGACCTAAATAGAGGGCGTACTCAGAATACCCTCTGATGGGGGGCAATTGTTGGGCATGTGACTCGGACCTAGTTGTGCAAGGCAAGACACGCTAACAGAGGACGCACGCGAGGGGCTAAGGCGCGCATGCTGGCTTAAGAGCGCGCTACTGCGCGTGCGCCAGCACAGGGAACCAGCGCGCGAAGACCCAGAGCTCCTCACGAGCCGCGCGAGAGTGGAAAACATCAAGGCGCGGAAGCTCAGGCGCGTTGTAAGCCACTTAGCCACAGTGAGTTCCACTCACACTTCCCGAGGGTCAGCCACGTCGGGATCAGTGACACCGTCGTAGGTACACCCCTGACATGTCCTAGGTAGGGGGATGGCCTAAATCCCCGACATGTCAGTGGTCACATCAGAGTCAAGGTCCCATCATGTAATCCATCCACTCACCCACCACCATGTAGCCTATAAATATGGCATTTACTCCGGTGGGTGAGGGGATCGCATTTTTTCACCACTCTCTCTCTACAATAACAACTTATCTCTCTAATATCCCTTCTCTTGTTCTCCTTCAACTCTCTAGTCTCCGACCTTCCGATCAAACCCATTGCTTGCACTTCTTCTTGACCCTCACTCCTACTCGAATCTCACTCCTACACTCAGTTAGGTTCAAACAATTATCATATTTTAAAGTGATCGATTTATGTTGTAAACCAAGTAAAATTTATAAAAGAGAATTTTAATTTAATTGAATCAATCACTATTGAAGTTTTGGTATAAGAAAAAATAGTGTTTTATAATAGAATGTGCATTAACGACTTAATATATCATGTGATTTTGCAGGTAATGACACACTCGCTACCCACCCACCCACCCAAATATAGTGGGTGACAAAATCAATGACTCACACTCACCCACTACATTCACCCAAACATGTAATGGGTGGCTTATAATTGGGTGGGTTTAGGTGGGTCTAGCGGTTTACCCACCCATTTCACATCACTACATCAAACACGTATACTACATTGAATGAAACACACAAAGCAAATGAAAAATAAATACAGAAGCAAATTCCCAAGCACGCAGTCGCGGTCCATGATATAGATGCATCATATATGCACATGATGAAAATATTGGAACTGCGGAAAGTAAACAAGACAATATTTTAACGTGGTTCAGCCTCGCATTGAGGAGGCTTGCGTCCACAGAAGAATGTGTTAGTTTATTTCAGTATGTGGTTCTGGCTGCTCGGCCAATTACCATCATATTTATACCCTGTACAACTCTTTATTAGGGTATTAGGTTTATTTCTACACGTATATGGAAGGGTACATGTAGAGAATAGAGTTTGCATGGCCACATGGGATGTAACGGGATCATCAACTATACTGGGCTGGTCGGACGATTCTTCTCTGCCTAGTGCCCAATACTCCCCCACAAGCTAGAGTGTGGAGGTCACGAACGTTCAACTTGTAAAGAAGAAACTGGAAGCGCTCTGCACCGAGGCCTTTGGTGAACATATCGCGAGCTGTAACTCCGAGCGGACCTTGATAGGCTGGATATCACCAGATTGAACACGTTCATGAATGAAATAACAATCCATTTTGACATGCTTCGTACGCTCATGGAAGACTGGATTGGCAGCGATGTGAAGTGCAGCTTGGTTGTCACAGTGAAGAGGGGTAGAGGTAGGTTGCGAAACACCAAGCTCCTGCAACAACCAGCGAAGCCAAAGGATCTCACTGACGGTGCTAGCCATAGCACGGTACTCTGCTTCTACTGAAGAATGAGCAACAACACGTGGCTTCTTGGTGCGCCAAAAACCGAAGGACCTCCTAGAACGATGAAGTAACCGGTGGTGGAGCAACACGTGCTGTGACAACCACCCCAATCAGCATCACAGTAGGTAGTGAGACGGATAGAGTTAGCTGCCGGAAAGAACAATCCTTGCCCCAAAGATGCTTTGAGATACCGCAAGATCGTGTATGCAACATCCATATGCATCAGCCAGGGGCGATGAACATACTGACTGAGAATATTGACCTCATATGTAATGTCTGGTCGCCCCAGATCCAATTAGGGCTAAGCCTCCAGAACTTGTTGAAGCAATTAGACTTAATCCGGATGCTTTCGTAAAGACCTCATGAGGTAGAAATCCACATCATAAATGCTCCTCGAGATCACCAACTCCTCCACCCCAATCCGGACCTCCTTAATTATTGTCGACACCCCAGCATTAAGGCAACTTGGTTTCCACTCGGTCGCCAGCCGCTTGCAGAAGTAGCTATTGTTGTAGTTGCGCAACACGATGGCACTTTTCCCGACTTTCACGGGCCAAAACAGTGTGTCGGCGTTGTCAGTGGTGCTATCGCTGGAGTCGCCCCAAATCCAATTGGGGCTAAGCCTCCAAAACTTGTTGAAGAATTTAGACTTAATCCGGATGCTTTCGTAAAGACCTCATGAGGTAGAAATCCACATCATAAATGCTCCTCGAGATCACCAGCTCCTCCACCCCAATCCGGGCCTCCTTACTTATTGTCGACACCCCAGCATTAAGGCAACTTGGTTTCCCCTCGGTCGCCAGCCGCTTGCAGAAGTAGCTATTGTTGTAGTTGCGCAACACGATGGCACTTTTCCCGACTTTCACGGGCCAAAACAGCGTGTCGGCGTCTTCAGTGGTGTTTTCGCTGGAGTCGCCCCAAATCCAATTGGGCCTAAGCCTCCAGAACTTGTTGAAGCAATTAGACTTAATCCGGATGCTTTCGTAAAGACCTCATGAGGTAGAAATCCACATCATAAATGCTCCTCGAGATCACCAACTCCTCCACCCCAATCCGGGCCTCCTTACTTATTGTCGGCACCCCAGCATTAAGGCAACTTGGTTTCCCCTCGATCGCCAACCGCTTGCAGAAGTAGCTATTGTTGTAGTTGCGCAACACGATGACACTTTTCCCGACTTTCACGGGCCAAAACAGCGTGTCGGCGTTGTCAGTGGTGCTGTCGCTGGAGTCGCCCCAGATCCAATTGGGGCTAAGCCTCCAGAACTTGTTGAAGCAATTAGACTTAATCTGGATGCTTTCGTAAAGACCTCGTGAGGTAGAAATCCACATCATAAATGCTCCTCGAGATCACCAACTCCTCCACCCCAATCCGGGCCTCCTTACTTATTGTCGACACCCCAGCATTAAGGCAACTTGGTTTCCCCTTGGTCGCCAGCCGCTTGCAGAAGTAGCTATTGTTGTAGTTGCGCAACACGATGGCACTTTTCCCGACTTTCACGGGCCAAAACAGCGTGTCGGCGTTGTCAGTGGTGCTGTCGATGGAGTCGCCCAGATCCAATTGGGGCTAAGCCTCCAGAACTTGTTGAAGAATTTAGACTTAATCCGGATGCTTTCGTAAAGACCTCATGAGGTAGAAATCCACATCATAAATGCTCCTCGAGATCACCAGCTCCTCCACCCCAATCCGGGCCTCCTTACTTATTGTCGACACCCCAGCATTAAGGCAACTTGGTTTCCCCTCGGTCGCCAGCCGCTTGCAGAAGTAGCTATTGTTGTAGTTGCGCAACACGATGGCACTTTTCCCGACTTTCACGGGCCAAAACAGCGTGTCGGCGTCTTCAGTGGTGTTGTCGCTGGAGTCGCCCCAAATCCAATTGGGGCTAAGCCTCCAGAACTTGTTGAAGCAATTAGACTTAATCCGGATGCTTTCGTAAAGACCTCATGAGGTAGAAATCCACATCATAAATGCTCCTCGAGATCACCAACTCCTCCACCCCAATCCGGGCCTCCTTACTTATTGTCGGCACCCCAGCATTAAGGCAACTTGGTTTCCCCTCGATCGCCAGCCGCTTGCAGAAGTAGCTATTGTTGTAGTTGCGCAACACGATAACACTTTTCCCGACTTTCACGGGCCAAAACAGCGTGTCGGCGTTGTCAGTGGTGCTGTCGCTGGAGTCGCCCCAGATCCAATTGGGGCTAAGCCTCCAGAACTTGTTGCAGAATTTAGACTTAATCCGGATGCTTTCGTAAAGACCTCATGAGGTAGAAATCCACATCATAAATGCTCCTCGAGATCACCAGCTCCTCCACCCCAATCCGGGCCTCCTTACTTATTGTCGACACCCCAGCACTAAGGCAACTTGGTTTCCCCTCGGTCGCCAGCCGCTTGCAGAAGTAGCTATTGTTGTAGTTGCGCAACACGATGGCACTTTTCCCGACTTTCACGGGCCAAAACAGCGTGTCGGCGTTGTCAGTGGTGCTGTCGCTGGAGTCGCCCCAGATCCAATTGGGGCTAAGCCTCCAGAACTTGTTGAAGCAATTAGACTTAATCCGGATGATTTCGTAAAGACCTCATGAGGTCGAAATCCACATCATAAATGCTCCTCGAGATCACCAGCTCCTCCACCCCAATCCGGGCCTCCTTACTTATTGTCGACACCCCAGCATTAAGGCAACTTGGTTTCCCCTCGGTCGCCAGCCGCTTCCAGAAGTAGCTATTATTGTAGTTGCGCAACACGATGGCACTTTTTCCGACTTTCACGGGCCAAAACAGCGTGTCGGCGTTGTCAGTGGTGCTGTCGCTGGAGTCGCCCCAGATCCAATTGGGGCTAAGCCTCCAGAACTTGTTGAAGCAATTAGACTTAATCCGGATGCTTTCGTAAAGACCTCATGAGGTAGAAATCCACATCATAAATGCTCCTCGAGATCACCAGCTCCTCCACCCCAATCGGAGCCTCCTTACTTATTGTCGACACCCTAGCATTAAGGCAACTTGGTTTCCCCTCGGTCGCCAGCCGCTTGCAGAACTAGCTATTGTTGTAGTTGCGCAACACGATGGCACTTTTCCCGACTTTCACGGGCCAAAACAGCGTGTCGGCATTGTCGGTGGTGCTATCGCTGGAGTCACCCCAGATCTAATTGGGACTAAGTCTCCAGAACTTGTTGAAGAAATTAGACTTAATCCGGATGCTTTCGTAAAGACCTCATTCCCCACGGATGGATCGCCAAGGTCGCTGCCAGAGAATTCAAGGTACTCAAGGCCTTTGATCCAACAAGCAAGAGGTACTGCCCATTGTCGCATTTGAATGCCACGTGTTTCGCTAGCACGAGGAGAGACTCCCAGTAACTAAAGTCTCACAGACATCATAGAGGTCACTGTTTGGCTCCTCCCACCCTGCGTACACGAAGTTCCCAAAGGGCGGGTCCGAGCAAAATTAGTAGGCATAGTGGTTGAGCTAGACATGGAGGAAGCGCACGGTCCTGTGATCGTCTTTTACGTCGACAAAGACAAGCTTGAAGAGGGTGCACGACCACTTGGAGTGGTCCTATTCGGTGTTGTCTGTCCCGCTAGAGATCCAGTACTGAGTTTCAAACCACACCTCACCCTGTACTTGTTGATGTAGGAGCACCTGAGGTGGACCAACCGGATACGGTCATGGAAGGCTTGACTCTCAAGTAAACCGGTTAATTGCTCACAAAGGATTGTTTATTTAATATATATATATAGCTAATTCCACCTAAACAACCTTAATTTCCAGCATAAACATCCTTAATTTCCACCTAAACACAAACCCTACTCAAACTATAGCTAATTCCTTTGCTTTCATGTACTCCTCTGAATTGGTAGGGAAAATTTTGCAACCTGCCTAAATTTTGCTTGTTTTGCAATTCAGAAGAACTTCCCATCAAGAGTTTCACGAAACAATGACATAAGTTTGAGAAATTTTACAATGCTTCAAAGCATTGGTTCTTTAGTTTATGCCTCTATGGTACAACTTGAAATTGTACCATTAATGTTATGGTGCAACTTTAGGTTGTACTTATGTTTTTTTGTAAAATTTCTTTATGATACAAACTAAAGTTGTACCATTATGTTATGACACATCTTAAAGTTGTACCATAACATAAATGTCAAATTCTCTTATGATACAACTTTAATTTGTACCTTTAACTTTATTGTATAACTTCAAGGTGTACTTCAAAGTATAGTAGAAGTGCTCCATAACTTTAAATTTTAGCAAAACGGTCAATACTTCCATCATATATGAAGCTTAAATTCAACACACCAAACACATATCATACATTGAATGAAACACACAAAGCAAATGAAAACAAAATACAGAAGCAAATCGTCAAGCACTCAGTCGTGCGGTCCACGAGATAGATGCATCGTATATATGCACATGATATAAAGGTACGTAGGATTCAGAAGTGGGAGCTTGCAGGCTGGGACCGTCGACGTTATTTAGCTTAGTATAGTTTAAGAACCAGCTAGCCCCCTCCCCTATGGTCACGACTCACGACAAGTTCTTCATCATTCAGATGACGAGCTTTTCCTCCTTGGTCTCATATTTGAAGTTGAAGGAATTGATGCCGGTATAGACACCATCATCCATTCGATAAGTAACTTGGCTGCCGTTTGTTAGAGTGTCCCTTTGAGTATAAGAGTAAGGGATATCACAAGATCCTCTGGTAGCCAACAGACTGATTCGAGTCAAACTCATGGGCTTCACACTGACCTCGTACTCTGTCTCCAACGTGTTTGACGACTCGTTGGTTTCGCCCCACGTGTAACCTCCTGAGAGTTCCCCAGAAATCTCAATGTGTCCTTCAGCAAGGAACGGAATGCCTGTCTTGATGGTAGTCTTCACTCCGACCTTGAGGGACACATTTCCAGACCAGGTGCTGCTCTTGGTGTCTGTGTAGCTCAGCTTCACTTTCGCCGTGTTGGGATTCGACGTCCCGTTACTGGCGACCCCTGTGGCCATGGTGACGATGGACTGGTCGTAGATTCTAGCATCCATGAGGCGGAAATCCACATCATAAATGCTCCTCGAGATCACCAGCTCCTCAACCCCAATCTGAGCCTCCTTGCTTATTGTCGATACCCCAGCATTAAGACAACTTGTTTTCCCCTCGGTAGTCAGCCGCTTGCAGAAGTAGTTGTTACCATAGTTGCGCAACGCGACAACGCTTTTCCCGACTTTCACGGGCCAAAACAGCGTGTCAGCGTTGCCAGCAGTGCTGTCGCTGGAGTCACCCCAGATCCAGTTGGGGCTACGCCTCCAGAACTTATTGAAGTAATCAGACTTGATCCGGATGCTTCCGTCCGGGTTGGTAAAGACCTCATTCCCCACAGAAGGATCACCAAGGTCGCTGCCAGAGAATTCAAGGTACTCGTGGCCTTCGATCCAGCGAGCACAGAGGTACTGCCCATTATCGCCCTTGAACGCCACGTGGTTGGGCAACACGAGGAGAGACTCCCAGTCCAAGATCTCACAAACATCGCAGAGGTCGCTGTTAGGCTCCTCCCACCCTGCGTACACGAAGTTCCCGAAGGGCGGGTCCGAGCGGAACAGACACGCGTAGTGGTTGAGCTGGACGTGGAGGAACCGGACGGTCTTGTGGTCGTCTTTTTCGACGAAGACGGGCTTGAAGAGCGTGCACGACCACTTCGACTGGTCCTCTTCGGGGTTGTCTGCCCCGCCAGATATCCAGTACTGGGTCTCGGACCATCTCACCCAGTACTTATTGTTGTAGGTGCACCTGAGGTGGACCAAACCGGACACGGTCTTGGACGGCTCAACCTGGAACTTGGCGTATGGGCTCACGGCTTGCTCGCCGGTGAACTGGAGGAGGCCGTGTTGCTGGACGTCTTCGTGTGTGTAGCGCATGTACTTGTTGTTGTACTTGCACTTCAGCACCACGTATCTCGGCAATGGCGGCTGTGACATTTCCTTTTTGTTGGTTGATGGGATTTGTGGATATGGAGATAACGGTACAAGTAATGGCGGATTTGGGTTCTGGTTTGTGCTGTGTTGTGTATTGCCCATTGATCAGATCTCTATTTATATAGCAAAATCCCTACCTACCATGCATACTGTAGTCGACATTTAAGCTCTTTTTATAAATCAAATCTTAAAACCCACTTTTACTTTTCCTAGGTTGGTTGTTGGACTTAATTAGTACTGATCATCAGCATTATCACTCAAGTTATCTGTAAGTGTAATCCTCAATACAATTCGATCCACTAACTCCTCTCTGATACTAGCAGTGTTGAAATTGGTGCGATGCCACTTTCGATCTATTCCTAGGTTGTTTTAGCAGTGTTCTCCAAGTTGTCTCCTAGTGGGAGATTACTTGCCTATTAGAAAATTCAGCAACTGGCCCACGGATTAAGCCCTCAAGTCTAGGGGTGGAAGTCGGTTTGGTTGTGGTTAACCGCATCAGATTTTGCGGTTAACCACAATGACAAATCTCCAAATACCATAATCAGAAATCTCACCACTGCGGGGTTAGTGGTTAACCATTGACCGCTATGGTTTCGTACAATTATAATGTGGTTAATCGTAAAAATCAATTTTCCAAACTCATATGTTTATCTATATTTTTCTTATAAGTTTGTTATCAATAGAAAGATATAGAGATGCAAAGGATGACATATACGGTAAAAAATGAGAATCATATTTCATGTATGGAAGATATATCGAATAAAATATATACAAAAAGTAGAGAAAAAATATGTTGAGAAAATCATGGGCAAAATAAAAGTCGATAAAAATATTAAATGGCAATACAACATTTACAACAATTCAACATCATTCTTATTCAATAAGACGTCAATAATTCAATAATTAGTAGAAGGCTAAATTACACGTTTTGTCACTCAAATTATACGAATCGTTCACATTTGCCACCCGAATCACTTTTCTTTCTTGCTCATCGCCAACTTTATGAATCGTTTCATCGTAGCCACCGGCAGTCCAGTTTCGTTAAAATCATTCTACGTGGCAGTCAACTAAACCATTTGACTGTTAGTTTGATGATGTGGCATTTAAAAAATAATAATAAATAAATATTAATTTTCAAATTCAAAAAAATTCATCTTCCACTTTTTTCCTTTTCCTCCCAGCTTGGAGTAAACGAATTGGATATTACTACCCGGTCTCTTACTTCAATTATGGGGCTTATGGAGATTTTTTAGACAAGAAAGGAGATTCATATCCTAGGGGTAGACACTATGAAACCCAGAAACCCAACACCCAATCCCTAAAATCAGACCTTTTACAACGAGGATTTTCTCCGCCGAGCCTTCGCACTATTTACCCTCCCCTTCCCCTACCAATACAATCCACAGTTCCCACCTCTCCCATTTCAAACTCTGCTCTCACCCTTTTCTCCCCCTCGTTCCATTCATGGAGACTCGTCGAAAAGATCAAAGTTTTTCTTCAACACCTCATCGTCACCGCTATCTACGGTTTCAACAACAACAGACCCGATTCTTGACTCGCCCATGACTAAAACAGAGAGCCAAAGGGAGAAGTCTGATTGGTTCGCACAATGGTACATGTTGGGGATATAGCTCGGATCTAGTCGCGCCAACAAGACAGACCAGCGTTCCCCTAGGAAGAACAACCCGTGTTAGCAATGCAGTCAAAATCGTGTTTTAAAACTTAAAAACTTACGATTTTACGCTTTTAGGTCACCAAAACGCTTTCGTTTCCATATAAAAACTTAAGTGTATAAAATCGGACTAAATTGCGCTTTAAAGCTTAAAAGCTTACGGTTTTACGCTTCTAGTTCTCCAAAACGCTTTACGTTTTTACGCTTTTAGTTCACTAAATGAGTATTCCTTTCATGAAATTAATTATGAAAAGTATATTTTAAAAGTAAATCACCAACAATATGATACATTTGAGATTAAAAGATACATATAAGGTACTTGGATGCATTCTCAACTTCGATAGAGTAATCTAATTCTCCCGTTAAGCTTTTCCCAAATTCATTAGCATAGTGGGAAAAGTGGCTTATTGTTAAAATTTATGTTTACAAACTTATTATTAAGATGCTATAAGTTGTTCTACTTTAAGCATGAATCGCATGTATTTATTGACTTATCTAAATTCTATGCATTCATATTTTGCATAGCATATGTCCTACTTAATACATTTTTAGTTATTTTTTCAGTATGCGTCAAAAACTTACGCTTTTACGCTTTGATTCTACGCTTTATGATTTTACCCCTTTTCCGCTTCTAGGTAGAATCGCGCTTTTGACTGCATTGCGTGTTAGTGTAGCTGC